ACAATGACTTCTAATGTGTTGAAGTAACTAATCGCCCTCTGACGGAAACATTTAGTAAATCTAGCTTTGAGGATCTTCATAAAGTTGTTATACATCAAGTTTCTAGCACATCTGATGCCATAATTGCTTAGTAGATCAAATGTGCGGCCCAGTGTTTTTTGGCATGTGTAAAGGTAAGTTTTAAAAAAAGTGTTAAACATTTTAAAGGGTTTTATTGAAAAACACTTAGAAAAAAAGCAAGGTTAAAAAAATAAATTTTCATTTCTTTTTCTTATTTCAATACATAGGCTGGACACGCCTATTCTCGACCTTATTCGCAGGTTGTGCACAACAGTGGCACATTTAGGGGAAGTAGGTTCCTACACTCCCATCAAAAAAGTTTAATATCTCAAAATATAAATGTAAATACTTGGGTAAATAAAGTTATATAATTATATATAATTAAAGTTCTGTTCGGTGATATTTTCGCACTTTTATCTCTCAAAAAATTTCCGTTTCAAAAAACGCAGGGTCACTAACACTACTACTACTAACACTATTAAGTAGCGTATATATTTGCACGTTTGCAAAGTTATAAGTGCATATACATTTTTTTGGAAATTATTTTTTTAGCGTTAAAAATATTGCGCAAAATATTAAGGTGAGTTTCCACTCATCTGTTTTTTCGCGGGAACGGGAAAGGGAAGGGAAAACAATCGCGTGGGCATGCGTATTATAAGTTTTAATTTGTCCGAAGTAAAACTGCGCATGCTCACGTGATTTTTTTTTCCTTTCCTGTCCCGTTCCTGTAAAAAAACGGATGAGTGGAAACTCACCTTTAAATTAATTTATCAATAAAGCCCGTTCTCCATTCAGAACTTTTTGCGCTTTGGAGGAGCGGAAAAGTTCTTTGATCATGCGCAAAAAGTTCTGAATGGAGAACGGGCTTAAGTGTTTTTTTTTTTGTTTGTTTGTTTTTTTAAAAAGTAATTAGTTAAAATTCTTTACATTTTTACTTAATTTAGCGTATTGTTATATATCAATAACTTTTCTAGATTATATATATATATATATATATATATATATATATATATATATATATATATATATATATATATATATATATATATATATATATATATATATATATATATATATATATATATATATATATATATATATATATTTATTTTTAAAGCCCCAAGAAGACCTTACGGTCTTATCACAGAGCACCGCGGAAGAGCATTTAATACGCCTCCTTCCCAACCGATGTCGCAAAACTTGTCCAGAAGTGGGGTTCGAACCACAGATCTTACGTTTCTGAAGCAAGTGCGCTACCACTGCGCCACGGCTGCTAAAGTCGTAATTCTTTCATAATTTTAAAAAAATAGTATACATTATTTAATCATAATATTTTAAAAAGGCATGCAAAAATATACATTATTAAAAAAAATAAACAAATCATTTTAAATATTTTAATAAGATAAATTCTTCTCTTCTTATTGCCTTTTCCAACCATCTTCTCATATTTATATAAAAGGCATCCCAGTGGGAAAAAAGACGTCGAAAAGACGTCTTTAAAAGTCTTATTTACGATGTCTTTAAGACGTCTTTTTTTAATCGATTATGCAAATCTAAAAGACATATTTTTTCGACATCGAAAAGACGTCTTTTTTTATCTTAATCTTGTCATGAAAGGATATAAAAAATGCGTTTTTAAGACACCGTTTTTTAGTCGAATATGCAAATCTAAAAGACATATTTTTTCGACATCGAAAAGACGTCTTTTTTATCTTAATCTTGTCATGAAAAGATATAAAAAATGCGTTTTTAAGACGCCGTTTTTTAGTCGAATATGCAAATCTAAAAGACATTTTTTTTCATTAAAAAGGCGTCTTTTTGTCTTTATCTTGTCATGAAAAGACATAAAAATGCGTCTTTAAGACGTCTTTGTTTATCAATAATGCACTTCTAAAAAAGTGTTGTTTGCTCGGGGTCGGAACGACTTTTTTGTCATACTTTTTAGTATACTATAGTATCCTATACACTATAGTATTCCTACTTTTCATATATGAAAAGCTGTTTTTATTAAATGAAAATGATAATAGCTCTTCATACAAGAAAAAAACTTATTTTAGATGTCAATATAAAAGAGAATGCATTTTCTACATCTTTTATATGTTTAAACATAGGAGAATAATTTATAAATAAAACAACAGTATTGTTCAACAGAATATTTTTTCATCTTTCTCTTTCTTTCTTTTCTCTTTCTTGAGCGAGCTCTGTTTCTTGGAGTCGTTGAATAAAATTAACTATTTCACGTTGAGAAATCCTATCATACGAGCTGGTTACGACTTCTAGCTGGTTACGACATCTAAAAAACGAGTGAACATAAAAAACAGTCTATTGCTTGAATGTAAAACAAAAAAGTAAATGAAACTTGATTAGCAGAGTGGAACACATTAGACTTACCGACTATTAATTCAAAAAGGGCTGATCCTTTTAACCCCCTCATGTTTTCAACCCGGTCCTTTCTTTTTGAACCAACTAGGTAGGATTGGGGCAGGAGTCAAACGGTAAACAGTCTAAAAATAAATAAAGATGAGTGTGCTAAAGAAATTTACGACCATCAAAATGACTATACAACGATGTATTTTATTATGTAGTACTTAAATCAAGCTAAACATTTGCACCTCTCAGATTTGCTATGAAAGCCAAGTTATTGAAAACAGATACTGATATTTTTCTGTCTTTGACATGACTTTTTAATTGAATTTCCCTGAAATTAAGTGTTGTAGACTCATAACAATTTAAAAATCCGTTATTGACTAAAGACTATCAAAACAAAAAGATAATTTAGCTAATGCACCTTGAGAGTTGTTATTCATTTAAACTGGATAAAAGTATTAATCAAAGCTCTATTTTAGCCTGAAAGATAATGATGCGTTACCTAACAACATAAAATCATGATGAAATACACATAAACAAAAATGAAGATTAGAAAGCTGCAATGATGTTTAGATATAAGAAAGTGTACCTTTCCAGTGTCATTTTCACTTGGTCTTTTGTATTCAAACCAAAAGTTTTGAAAACAGTTCTAAAGATAAACCTGTTGTCATTATATACAATTTTTTACTTGCTTTGTTAATGACAGACAACAGTTAACAAGGAAATAACAACTTTAACATAAAAATTAAAGAGCCAATCTTTTGTATAAACAATTTTATCATTCAACTAAATAAAAACAACAAAATTATTCAGATCATTTAAAAATATGTAAAAAAAAAAAATTGCAAGCCTACTAAATGCTTCCTCTTTTCTATTGTTCGTTTCACTGGCACTTGAACAAGTAAATATAGTGAGAAATTATTTACAGGTTTTATTTTTCTTCTGAAAATAAATATTTTAATTTAATATGTAATAAACAATGTTCTTCAAGCACAATACATTAAAAAATTAGTCTAAAAATAAACGGTAAAACTTTTTAAAACAATTACCTGCGACTAACTTAATTGAAACTAGATCATATCGATACCATCTTACTAGCACCACGCCATCCACTTTTGCTTTTTCCGATTAACATTTTCTAGCTAAACATATATATATATATATATATATATATATATATATATATATATATATATATATATATATATATATATATATATATATATATATATATATATATATATATACATATTAGGGTGATTCATATTTGACGAATTTTCGAAAATCAAGTTGGTCCTACCTGGAATGGTTGATCACCAATATAAAAATAATTTTAAGCCCAAAAATTTTAATGTCACGTGACTTTAAAGTCCCCGCCGGTCAAATTTGTGTACAAAAACGTATCAAACTTTAGGGGTCTGGCGGGGACCTTTAAAATCAACTCAGAAAGCCAACTTTTCTTTTATATGGTATATTTTGGACTATTTATTTATAATGGAGTAGGACCAAAATGAAATATGGTGGTATTTATTCCACATAGTGTGGACAAAGTGACGAAAAAAACGAATTTTTACATAAAATGACGCACCACTACGTATAACTGATGCTTGTTTACTCTTCATATTTAGGCCGAATTTTGAAAAATAATGTTAGGACTAAGCATTAATAATGTTTATATAGAAGAGGCATGTCAATAGTTATCCGCCCCCCTCACCCTATTTTTGGAGATGTCTCCCCCCTCCCCATACTTTGTTCGTTGGAGACGGGAGGGGGGGCAAGCAAATTTATTTAAATTTTATTGTAAATCATATTATTTAAAATCACTTTATTTTCTTAAAAAAAAATACTTCACTTGGCAATATAAATATTAAAATCGTGATATGTAAACATAATAAAATATAATGCAATAGTTAAATATAATATATAAATCATGTTATTTTTTTTCTCTTCTTGCATATTGCTTTATATGCTAGCTGCAACTGTTCCTTGGTTCCTGACCCACGGAGCTGATCTCGTCTTTGCTGCACAGCTAGTAAAAGTTCTTGACGATCATCCTCGTTGTGAACATTATTCACAAACTCTAATACAAGTTTTACAGCCCTTTCAGAACTACCGTTCACTACTTCAAGTTTACTTACAAAATTGGAGAATGTTTTGAACTGGTCAACATAGCACCACATAGGAGCAGGAGAATTTAACTAAAGTTTGTCCTCCATTCTTGTCAGGTTTAGCAAACTGAAGATGAACCAAGAGTTCTCTCCGATTAATCGAGCAAGTCCTGGTGGCACTTCTTGTTTAAAATTTAACTCTTTGATCAAGTTTGACTTCTCTGAATGCTGAAAATGATCAGGAACTGGTATGGAGAATAATGTTTTTGCAATGTTTTCTCTCTCTACATTAGAAAGGTCAGGGTCTAGGAGAGCAAGTGGAACTAAAGTTTCATCTAAGTACCAGGTGTGTCTCTTCATTGACATCATTGTGCTTTTAATTCCGTTTAGAACTCTCTTGGAATCAGCGTTGTGTTTCTTTACATGTTCTTTGTACTGCACCATTTGCCAATAAGCTTTTACATCTTAAAATGGTGCACCTGATGGTAACGAGGTTCTCAGAAACCAGACAGAATAGAAAATCGAGATAAATTCTGCCATTGCCTTTAACTCTTTCCTTTGGGAAACAGTCAAATCATAGGGCAGATGTGTACTCAATATCTGAATTTTCAAGTAGTAAATGGTTTTTGACATGAACCTAGCATGAGAAACACAGCCTGGAGCTCGAACTTTAAAAAATTTTTCAGGATGCAGATACATCAGGGTAAGTTCCAATAACTCCCTATAATCCCCTCTGGGAACAATGTCAGTCTTTAATGCATCCTTGCAAAACTGGATAGTTTCCTCAATCTGGGTAGCCAAGAAAGTATTGCTGATGGAATTGATATCAAACCTTATTAAATTGGAAGGATCAACAGTTTTCTTGATGCAATTCCAGTTTGTCTGAAACCGTTTAAACATTAAATTTTCTGGAGCTGCTGTTTTGCCTGAGGTAATTTGCTCCCAGAAATGTTTAAGATGAAGCTCATAAATATGCCTCCTGCAGGCAAGCTCTAACAAAATAGATTCCTGTCTTTGACTGAACCTAGTATTGGTTCCTGAATGTCTTCCAGTATTTGAGGCAGTTGTGTCAAAACATAATCCCTTCACATCGTCACATATTCCATAATCTTCCAGTACATTATTCAAAGCTTCATACTGAGCAGCTCCAGTTCCATGCTCCATAGCTGGAATTCCAAGAAGCTTAATGTCTCCATCAATATTAACTGAAACAACAAACCTGTCTCTTTTTTCTTTTTTCCCATTAGTGAAATCTTCTATAATTTTTCCATCAAAGTGAGCTATTATGGGGAAAAGTGCTTTCTCACCAGCTTTTTTAACCTCCCTTTTGTGCTGTGCAGCATTTTGATGGATGGTTTTCTTTTGTGCTCGCCAAATAGTTGATTGAGACAGTAAAAAGTTTTCAACATTTCCACCTGAATTAACAACCAAATCTGTACACACATGCAACAAATCTCTAGAGGAAATATTTTTGGAAACTGAAGTCATGGCAATATCTTGTACAAAATTCTTGGCTAACTGCGACGTATCATTACTTGGACCTGGCTGTTCGAAATCAAAAGAACAATCTGAGTCCATGCTGGTACTTGTATCACTAGTTTCAGAAGAAAACTGAAGCTCTGTAGTCAAATCATCTTTCTGAGAAAACTGTTCAACACTATGTACTAACTGTGGATGTTTCAATCTTCTCTGTTCTCTCTTCTCAACCCTCCGGTTATATAGCTTGTCTTTTTTACCCAGAGTCAATTTACGTCTGGCCTTTTGATCTCTCAAAAATTTCATATCAGTACGATACGAGACCTTATTAAGGCTTGTCTTCTTTAGAATATCTTGGATATTTGGTTTAGCAATCCAGAAAACCTTGTTTCCTTTTTTTTTGAAATCTTGTCTAGCTTTTCCTGCTTCTTTCGAGTTCTTACACTTACTTTTCTTTAAACTCTCCCAGCTGTTGATCAGATCAGTGATATGCTTCCTATAATAATATATAACTGGTTTAGAAAATATTATATTATCCAAAATTTTTGTAGTGTATTTTATGGTAACCTGTCCATTAAATATGAATTAAATTTTGTTTAACCTACCTTATAAATGGGTCAGTGAGTATCTTATCCTCGTATCCTCCGTCTATCCAAGGTTTCTTAACTGCAAACATAATGCAGTTTTCAGGACAGCTACCAAGACCAGAACACTTTGCTGTTTGATGACTAATGGTACAAGCAATCAGCTTTTTTGTTGGAGTTATTTTGTCTCCAGATCTTCTAAACTAAAAGTAGAGAATAATGTCTTTATTTGTTGAAAACACTATTTCTGTTAGGTTTTCTATAAGATCCTCTTCTTCAAAAAGATTTTGTTTTAAGTTTTGTTGATCTTGGCATCTTGGTTTCTAAACAGTAATTTGATTAAAGAAAACAATTCATATTCATTCTTTGATTAAATTACATGTATTTTACAATAACAATTTTGTATATAACCGCAGATAGTATACCTTTTATAGAATGTTATGGATACACCAGATACACAGAACACAGAGCAGAGAATTGAAAATTACGACAATATGTCTTCCGCAAATACGACAATTTGTTAGTTTATAAAATTACCACGGAAACTAATAAAAATTCCAAAATATTCAGGCATCAAAATGTTATCATAATTTAATATTCATATTGTCTTTTTTTCTAAAGAAAAAAAAGTGATTTTAAATAATATGATTTACAATAAAATTTAAATAAATTTGCTTGCCCCCCTCCCGTCTCCAACGAACAAAGTATGGGGGGGAGGGAAGGGAGGGGGGAGACATCTCCAAAAATAGGGTGAGGGGGGTGGATAACTATTGACATGCCCCTTCTATATAAACATTATTAATGCTTAGTCCTAACATTATTTTTCAAAATTCGGCCTAAATATGAAGAGTAAACAAGCATCAGTTATACGTAGTGGTGCGTCATTTTATGTAAAAATTCGTTTTTTTCGTCACTTTGTCCACACTATGTGGAATAAATACCACCATATTTCATTTTGGTCCTACTCCATTATAAATAAATAGTCCAAAATATACCATATAAAAGAAAAGTTGGCTTTCTGAGTTGATTTTAAAGGTCCCCGCCAGACCCCTAAAGTTTGATACGTTTTTGTACACAAATTTGACCGGCGGGGACTTTAAAGTCACGTGACATTAAAATTTTTGGGCTTAAAATTATTTTTATATTGGTGATCAACCATTCCAGGTAGGACCAACTTGATTTTCGAAAATTCGTCAAATATGAATCACCCTAATATGTATATATATATATATATATATATATATATATATATATATATATATATATATATATATATATATATATGTATATATATATATATATATATATATATATATATATATATATATATATATATATATATATATATATATATATATATATATATATATATACATATATATACATAAAAGATATTGTAATTACGATACTGTGGGTTAAAACCCATCTTTGTTAGGTTTTATTGGCAAAAATTATTTTTAATTTTCTTAAACAAATAAGGATTTCCTTATTAACAATCAATTGACGTCTTTTTGACCTCTTTTTTGAAGACGTCTTTTTAAAAGACGTTTTTCCACGTCTTTATTTAGGCTGATTATAAAAAGACATAGCAAGTCATAAAAAAGACGTCTTTTATTCGTCTAAAGATGTATTTTTTCCTACTGGGATTGCACTGTTGACTATAATTATTTTCAGGTGATAAAATATATTCTAGAGTTTCTTCAACAGTCATATCGGTATTAGCATTTCTCGTGGATTTGAAATTGGATTTTAACATTGAAAAGAACTCTTCGATTGGGTTCAATTCAGGGAAGTATGGTACTAAAAACTTATGAGTAATATTTTTTTCTCTTAGCAATTGAAGTACTGCAGCTGCTTTATGAAATTTTGCATTATCTTGGATAAGAATTTTATTTGGATTTACTGCAAAGAACGGTACTAGTTTGTTGTTGATGAAGTCAATAAATGATTGTGTATTGTATGCGCCGCTTTTGTATTGGTAACATTCAACTCCTAAATTGGAACTTAAGCACATGAGGCTAACATTCTGTTCTTTATTTGCAGGAACTGTCAAGTACGCTTTTGTATCTTTTGGAGAATAGCCATATGAGCGCACTGTATGTTTATTGAATCCGGTTTCGTCTAAAAAAACCAAATCTGAATCAGCAATTCTAGCAACTTCGGACCCAAAAATTGAATCCTGATTTATTCTTTCCATGGTGTTTCTTTTTTGAGGAATGATTGCTAATCTTTTTTGTGTCAAATTTAATTTCTTTAATTTACGGGAAACAAACGTTTTTACAATGTTGTTTTAAAACTTGCGTTTAGATTTCTTTTTGAACTACGGCATTGTTACAGACCACGGAATTAAATATTTTCTGTTCAATGTTTGTATTTTTGATTTTATACGTTTCTTTTCTTTTTACTGTAGATGACGTGAAGGGTATATTATTATCACTATTTTTTATAACACGACTAACAGCGTTTCGAGTTAAATTACAAGCGTTGGATATTTCCTTGATTGAATATTTTTCACAATTTCTCATTGAATTAATCGTATTTTTAGTTTCTTCTGTAATTGTTTTCCGTACTTTTCTTTCCAAAATATGAGTTAAAATTAATTTTATAAATGCACTTATAACTTTGCAAACGTGCACTTATAACTTTGCAAAACCCTGTAATAAAAATAAATATAAAAAATTGAGGCACGAATAATGTTTCCATCACAAAAAAACTTATAAATGGATGGAAACGAAACCGCATATTTTTCATTTTGTAGCTTGTTTTTAAAATAACATTTTTTTTTTTGTTTAAACTTTGTTTTATATTTTTCGTTAAAAAAAAATGATGTTACGATGTTGATTATTCTAATGACTTAACCTTTATTGGGATGCTTTTTGCAACGCGTGTTTATTTTGCAATACTTAAAAAAAAAAAGGTTGTTAGCAAAGTTGTTAATAAGGCCAAAAGTAGCATGGCCAAGGCAAAAAGTTACAAAGTCAAGGATAAGGCCAAGAGTTTTAAGGTCAAGGCCAAGAATAAGGATTTTAAGGCTAAGGCCTACGCAAATATTTTCAAAGCCAAAGACTTAAATTTTTGCCTAACGTTAAGGCCAGTTATTAACAAAACTGTAGGTAACAATTGCTGTGACAATAAACCACATGTTATAAACCAAGGTTATGCGCAAAATTCTACGAAGTCAATAAGAAAAAATACTTGTAGATATATATGAAAGCCGAAAACAAAAATACATAAAAAGTAAGAATGAAAACCTTTAATTCTTTAATTTTATGTATTTTTTTTTTTTGAAGGCCTAGACCGAATTAATTAAGGTCAAGGCCAAAATTTTCACGGACAAGAGTTTCAAGGCCAAACCAAGACCAAAGTCTTTATTTTTGGCCTTAAGAAAAGACCAAGGCCAAGAACTCACAACTCTGCTTTGTATTTACTAAGCTTTCATTTGTTATGGTAACAATATCCTGACCTGATCTAAAGATTTTTTATTTTGATTTGAAAAATACTTTTCGAAAATTAAGATTTTTCAAAACGTTAGCCATCTTGCTCTGGGTCTAACAAAAGTAAAGTCTAATCTAAAACTAAATTAACAACAAGCTAAAGTACCAACTTAAATAATACTAGAATTAAAATACTATCCTTTTTTTTCGAAAAGGCAATTGATTTTTTAGATTTAATTAAAGTTTTTTGATACAGTAAATGTCCTCACAAAACTTCAGAAAATAATGATCCACAATAAAAATTAAAACCAGTATTTTTTTTTTAATTATTTTTATACAGGGATTCTGAAATAACTTCTTTAAACATAAAAAATAACTGAAAACTTGATGTTTCATCACATGTTGTCAACGTATTACATATTGTAAATAAACATTCACATATATTGTACAAGCTTATAATTTAAATTTTTTTGTAAATTTTTTTGATGTAAAGACACAAAACAGAATCATTATTTCAATGCACAAGGGCAGAAATCATCACATTGCAATGATATTGAGCAGGTTTTTGCATCATTTAATAAATTGTATGGAAACATCTCTAGTTTCCTATTCTCAACACACTTCAAAAAATGAGATCTCATACTGTTTCGTTCCCAAAGAATTACACTTGAATCAATTCCATGACATAAAGCAGTAGCATTAGCAATAGCATGAACCCCGCAATCATTTCCGTTGTCTTGATTCTGGCATCTCATGGCTTCTAAATTTATGAATGTGGGGTCAAACATGTGGGGTCCCTCAAGGTTCTATACTAGGACCTCTTCTCTTTTTAATTTACATTAATGATCTCCCTAAAGCCTCAAATTTAATGACGGTCATGTTTGCCGACGATACAAATCTTTTTTTAGCTCATAACAACATAACAACATTATTCCATAATATGAATATTGAATTAATAAAAGTTTCTGACTGGTTTAAAGCGAATAAGCTGTCACTAAATGTTGAAAAAACTAAATAGATACTTTTTCATCAAACTTCAAAAAAAAAGCTACTACCTCCTGTGATGCCCTTACTTTTTATTGACAAAGTTCAAATAAAAAGAGAACAAACTACTAACTTTTTAGGAATAAATATTGATGAAAACCTTAGTTGGAAGTATCACATTGATTTATTGTGCAACAAAGTTGCTCGAAATATAGGAGTAATGTACAAGGCTAGAAATACTTTAAATAAACACAGTTTAACACAATTATATTTCTCTTTAATCCATTGCCATTTAAATTATGCAAATATTGCTTGGGGCAATACCAATAAATCTAAACTGCTACCTCTTTATCGTCAGCAGAAGCATGTTGCTCGGCTTATCAATTATAAAGATCGATTTGCTCATGCCAAACCATTATTATTTCAAATGAAAATTCTTAATATTTATCAGCTAAATATTTTTAATATACTTTGTTTTATGTTCATGTGTAAAACCAACGAATCTCCAGTTTCTTTTCATAATCTATATACCTTAAAAGATAAAAATAAATATAACTTAAGAAATGATAATCAAATTCAGCAACCTTTATCTTTAACTAATTTTGGAAAGTCATGTATTTCATATCGAGGAGCTTTTCTATGGAACAAAATAGTTTTAAAAAATTTTGATTTTTCCCATGAATGGAATTATCTTTCATTCAAGAAAAAACTAAAAGAAATTGTTTTGTCTTTTGAAGACATTTTTTTATATTTTTAAATTCTTTTAAAAATGAATATAAAGTTTATTACATAAGATAATATATAAATATTATATCTGATCCATAACTTATGTGTTTGTGGAAACAGTACTTTTTAAAATATTTTGTATTTATATATAAGAGTATCAACAATTTCTTTATTCCAATTTTATTTATATATTATTACGAAATTTACGTTCTCGCTAATTTTTAATACGAAATTGTTTAGATTTTTTACTTCATGTTATTCTAATGTACTTAATATTCACGAGCGGTTCTCGATGATAAGACCTGAAGGTCTTCTGCGAGTCTCCGCGTTCTTTCTTTTTTGTATATATTTTCTTTTATTGTATAACGATTTTTATCTCAACTATCTTATTGTATAACTATATTGAATATTCAAGAAAAGAACAAAAAAAAAAAAAAAAAAAAAAAAAATGCAATACCCTCATTTATCAACATTGTACTTTTATTTAAACCAGTAAAAAAGGAATCATAATATTGAACAGAATTTGAACCATTGTAAGAGGTTACATTACTTATTAATATCCAATGTGAATTTCTCACATTAAATATCTGAATAAACTTTCCAGAAACGAAACCACCTAAATTATTTGAATTAAAAATACAAGAACTTTGAAACCTTACTTTAGGAAACTGATGCGATAGAAAACTTTGTGCAATATCAATTAAAGTATCATCTAACCAACCAAATGGATTATTTAAAATATCTATACATTGTTTGATTGACTGTGCTGATAATGTTGAATAAAAATTGCTATCTTGAGAAATTGCAGGATAAATCAATCTTTTACGTTTTAAAATGCTTTTATCGTCAGATAGAGATGATGCAGAGATTTCCATTTTAAAAGATTTATACTTTTGATCTTTGTCATAACATTTCAATTCTGATATGTGCCTCTTTTTAGAACTCCTTTTTTGTAAATCTTTATTTTTATATGATTGATTTGTCATTTTCAAACTATAATCATGTTCTTTTAAAAGCAATTCTGCTGACAATACTTCAATACATCAATATATCAACGATATAAGGCTTAATGTTGGATGAAGAAAAAAATATTTTTCTAAACCTTACCATTGACAGTTAAAGTAGCACCAGTTTGTTTTAACTCTGAAATAATTCCATGTCCCAACCAATCATGTTCCATCCGACTTCCTTTACAACCTATTTTTCTGTAATTTCTAACTAAAACTTGGTCGCCTGTTTTAAATGTAAACGATTTCCATCCTTTAAGTAGTCTGAGGCATAATACCTTTTCATTTTTTTTGAGCATGACAAATCGCGAGGTTAGAATTATTTTGTTCTATCTCCACTTTTTGAAAAAAATGAGTTATTAATTGTGTAATGTACCTCAAAATAATGTTTTTCTACTATATTAAAACCTAAGTTAAAATCAAAAAAGTTTCGGAGAAAACATAAGTAATAAAAATCTTTTTATATGCCGTCTCCTAAAGTTTTTATTTTTTAAATCGTTTTATCTCGAAACAAAAAAATGTGGAGATAAAACAAAATAATTCTAACCTCGCGAAATATAGTTATTTACTTCTGTAACAACTTTATTATAAGAACCCAATTTTTCTTGAACTTGCTCATCCAATGCATTACTTTCAACAATGTTATTGTCATTAGTACCAGAGTCCCTATTATTCAGTGATAAAGTTGAGAACAAGTTTGCTTCTCTGCCAAACATTAAAAAAAAAGGGTGTAAATTTAGTTGGCTTTGCACACATGTGCGCAGACCAAATAAAACAGCTTCTAACAACTCATCCCAATTGTCCTGGGTAGATAGATTAGATAATTTAGGGAGAGATTTCTTAATTGTCTGATTAGTTCTTTCATCTTGTCCGTTGGTTTGAGGGTGGTAGGCAGAGGTTATCAAGTGTTTGATTTGAAATGAAGAGAATAAATGTTAATTTAAACTATTTACAAACATTTTAAAAGAACTATTTTAAAACGGAAAATATTGATTTATCCTGCAATTTCTCTAGATAGCAATTTTTATTCAACATTATCAGCACAGTCAATCAAACAATGTATAGATATTTTAAATAATCCATTTGGTTGGCTAGATGATACTTTAATTGATATTGCACAATTTTTTTTTCGCATCAGTTTCCTAAAGTAAGCTTTCAAAGTTCTTGTATTTTTAATTCAAATATTAACCATTCCTAACAATTCAACAAAAACAAAAGTTTGACATGAACCAAAATACAACCAAATTTAAAAAAATAGAGCTGTGCTTTATCTTTTGATATCATGAATTGATATCAATTCATGTTTTAATTTAATTTGTCTAGCAATTAAGTTCAAGAAATGTATTTAAAAGAACTTAAAAACCTTATAGAAATAAAAAAAAACTATTATAAAAAGACAATAATATAATACCCAGTAGAAAGAACCTTTAAATTTTGCTCTTGTGTTGTTAGCCTTTAGAGATGTTCATGATTAGAATCATGGACATCTCTAGAGGCTAACATTTTTTCATTGTCATTAAAAAGAACTTGCAGGTTTTTTGACGCTGTTACATAGTACAACTTATCATCTGAAGTATTTAATAAGTTAGTGATTATTCAATAAAAATAATTGTTCATTAAAAATAATTATTATTTATTCAACCATTTATTATACAACTATTACATACCGCATAGTTGGAATTTTTTTGCATATATGATTTACGCATATTTTTTGCATATTTCATTTATTTATTTTTTTGCATATATGATTAATGATTTACATATATGATTAATATATGATTTACGCTGAGCAATTTATTTAATTTTTCAGAAAGCTTAATATTTATTAACTTAAAATGAATGAAATTGATAAATATGGATAAAAATGATATCCAAAAAAACTTTAACTGTGGCTAACAGAACGAGGTAACTTATTTAACGATAAATGATACCTAACGGACACTTGACAGCATATCTGCGCATGTGAAAACGCAGGCGCAGAACTGTCTACTTATTTAACGCAGTACCGCCCCTGTGACTAATATAAACTTAAGAAAATGTCTTGCTACTCTTATATTTCATATTTGTGATTTTTTACATTTTCACCAAATTTAAAAAACATATTGCCATTTTTGTAGTAAAATTATATACTGAGCTCAAAAATCACAGTGGGGAAATATTTATTAGTTTCAGAGCGCTGGGGGTCTCTAGATTACATGTTTACAAATATAATCCACGGCGCCAAGGCTGATTAAATTTGGCTCGTATTCAAATCTACAACAAAATATAAATACTGGAAGGCGTAGTTATAAAATTGAAAACACAGTAGGTCAACAGTTTGAAAATTCATTAGGTCAACGATTTAGTAGATAGGAAAATTAGTAGTAAATGATTTAATTAGGTATAAATTAAAACATCTTATTTAGATGTAAATATAAAAATCTTTGAAAATCAAATCAGGTTGAAAATCAAAAACGTCGCAATCGACGATTATGAAATTTTAAAATTAGGTTGAGTTATAGGTCACCCAAATTAATGCTTATTTGAATTTTTTCAGTGCAATGGTTTTATTTTTGCTGAAATGACTAAAATCTAAGCGATAAAGGTAATCTAAGGCGCGAAATATATTTCTTGCCAATAAAATTTATACAATCAAATAAGTAGGCTAGAATCAATAAAATTTTATCTGCAGCGTAATTTTTTTTTTCGAAGTCATATTACTACAAAATTACACGGTAAAGGATAATGAGTGCGACATCAATGATATCAGAATTCGTACCAAATCGAATCGCGAAGACAATTTTACAAGCCAATATCCAATGTCAGTATGGCGCTTTTTAACACGCAAGAACAGGCCAACGTATGTCCATAAAATTAGACAAATTCATATCTACAAATACCAGAACGCATAACAGCTACCCAATAATTGGCAAATCTATTTATCGTTTAATAAGGACGTGGTCTACGATCAGATCTATCACTCCTATAAAGTTAGAAAAAATAACTTTTTACAAAAAGTTAACAATAAAATTAAACATAAAAAACTTCGTCAATATTAATTAATGCATTAACCTGTCATGTCCTCCGCCACGACCACCACCATAACCTAAAGTAAAAAAAAAAATGTATAGAATAACAGAAAATCATTTTGAAATAACTTTATTGCAGAAATTAAATTTCAACTTAACTTACCTCCACCGCCACCATCTCCACCACCACCTCCAGGTTTGCTTTCACCGCATCTATTGCATTCGTTTCTACGAGCGAAATTCGAATTGTCACATCTAAAAAATAACGATAGATAAATAAGCACATAACTCTAAAATACTAATTCTAAATACATATTGAATTCAAGTCTCGTATTTTCTTACTTTGGACAATTCCAATCACCTTCTCGACTTTCACCTTAAAAAAAATTTATTGAACCATTTAAATCAAAACAATTTTATAATTAACAAACAAAATAGACAAAAAAAAAATAAGAATAAACATTATCTATAATTTATATAATATCAACAGATATTTACCCCTTCCGCCGCCGCCACCTCTACCACCACGATCACCGCCTCGACTGAATCCTAAAAGGGCAAAAAGTTAAGTTAATTTATATACTTTATATATACAAAATATTATTTATAAACTATTTTAAAACATTACCTCCATCCCCACGCCCTCTTGATCCACCTCCACCGCGTCCACCACCTCCACCACGACCACGACCCCTAGAAGCAAATCCTTCCTCAGGAGCTTTACGTTGAGCTATGGAGACCTTAATAGAATTAGAACCAAATTGCTTGCCATTAAACCAATCAACAGCAGCTTGACTTGCTTCAGCATCTTCATATGTGACTGTGCATTCACCCTATAAATCATAAAGTCAATATTGAACTTAATATAAGTGCGTCAGAAAAGTATATAAAAACGAGTTTATTAATACTGCTGTATTAATTAACTCATGACCAGGCTGAGTTGCTAAAAGAAATCAGATTAAAAATATGGCACAGCAACAACCTTTAGAAACTGCCACTAAATAATGCAAGGAAACAAAATTAACAATCAATTATCGATTTTTTATTGCATTTTAAATAGTTTTAACAATAAATGTACCAGTAAAACAGGTCTGTATCATATAAAAATGTACCAAGTTTAAAAAAAAATATATGTAAGTCAACAAGGTTTTAGAATTTTTAGAATCATTACATATAAAATATAAAAGTAGATTAAATACCATTATTTAGAAATGACTTAAACTACTTTTGTAGATTATAATTAAATACCTTTCCAGTTCCATCGCGATGTTTGTATACCCAAATTTTTGGTTCCCGGGTTCGTTTGTCCATCTGGTTAATAATAAAATACAAATAAAATTCATGACATAAAAACTTACACTACATGCATTTAGAAATGTAGAACATACAATTATTAACCTTAATAATCCCAATTTGTCCAAAAAAATTGGCTATTTCTTCAACAGTCGCCGACGGAGGCAACCCAGCTACAAAAACTGTATCATCTTGAATAATCATTCCTAAATAAATAAACATTACTATTTCAAAAGAATTATATATAAGGATAGCAAATTAAGAAGGAAGATTATCTCTTAAAACAAGTTTTACACCTGTGTATTTACTAATAAATGAAAATATTCCCTTTATAGTATTCAAGTCTAACAAACTTTTAATATCAATAGTAAAAAACTCCTCATTAAAAAGGATTCAAATAGATGAAATAAAATTCTTTTCTGCTTATTTGAAATAAAAATCAAAACAGTGTTACATTAAGCATAAAACAAATATTTTAAAATTTTTAAATATTTTAGTAGGGTTGCACAGAGCGTTTGTTTGGCCAAACATGCTAATTTTGGAAAACATTATGCTTTTTTAGATTAGACTTCAAACTTAAGTCATTTGCACTGTATTCGATAACTATGGTAAATTAAGTTAAATTTTTATATAAAATTAAATAATCAAGAGTTAAATTTTAAATAATCCATTAACTTTTAAACTTAAAATGTGAAATAGAAATTTATATAATTTCGAGTGTTTAAAGAAAGAAATGTCCATTGTTGCTGTGGTAAAACAAAATTTCTCTACAGTTTCTCCATTTGTTTATTATATATCTTGATAGGGAACTCTGTGATAACTTATGATGGAGTTCCATAATAATGCTCCTATTGGTGAAAGATTACTACATCTGTGGAGTAGTCCAAGATCATATGAACACTGTTGTCTAAGACCATCTGTATTTTTCTTTTAATCTAATAACATCTGTCAAATATCATCTGAAAATTCAATGATCCCCGACAACATTTTTAGGAAAATGTAACTAAATCTAGTAATTTTCCTTAAAGTCCAATAGCATATGAAAGAATTTTCTCCAGATGTAGTTACATCTGAAAAAATTTCTATATGTAATAACATCTGGTTAAAATAATGCATTATTAGTTTATCTTAAAAATAATTTTATCTAAAAATCTACAGATGTAGTTGCACAGATGTTTTTACACTTTGATTATTTAAAAGGGTAACATCTGAAATTTCAGATGTGGTTGGACAGATGTTATTAAACATTAAATTTCAGATGTTGTTGGACAGATGTTATTAAACCTTATTAAATTTACAGATCTTGTCAAACAGATGTTATTAGACACGGCAAAAACTAATGTTGCTACCCTGACCCCTTATATTTATTATGGAATTATTATTATATAATCATACTATGCAATTGAAATAACAACAACCAAATAAATAATTTTAGTCTTTCACATAACCAAATAATTGTTTAGTAATGAAATAAAATATCAAAAACAAAGGTGGACTTAAATTATTACTTGTTGCTTTTAAGTTATTATGTATGAACATTATAACTTGAATAATTTTTCACCACTTTCTGGTGATAGTCTATTTCTATTAGGTTCATAAATGATACCACCTGTACTAAAAAGCCTTTCACTTTCTACAGAACAAGGTGGTGCTGAAAGAAACTTTAGGGCTTTTTTAAAATTTTAAAGGAGTTGCGCAACTTTTTTACTATAAAAGCAGACTTTCTTTATCCATGACAAGAGGATGTTTCAAGTACTTATGAATTTTTGATGTTTATGTTTATTATGGAGTTTGATCTTTGCAATCTTTTGCAATTTTTAGTATTTACAAAATTGGAATCATCTTTAGTTTTCAGTTTTGGAAATAGCAGGAAATATTCTTTAAATATTGGAAAAGCTGGTTTTAAAATTACTTCATGTGTTTCTTTCAGTGGGTTTGTTACAATCAGAATCTGAGGATTCAACTTCTAAATTATGTTGCTGCATTTTTTGTATCTGCTTATCCATTTTTTTATTCTTGATTTTCTTATATCTAGGGTCACAAAAAGTGGAAAGACAAACATTTAAGCAAGAATGTAACCATTGTTTTGTCTACTAACTCAATTGACCCGATTTAATTGTTCAACAAAAGTAATTATACTTAAAAAAGCCTTAAATATTAATGCTTGATTAAAAAATTCTTTTAAAGCCACAATCAAAAGAATAACATAACACATGCTTTATGTTAGCTGAAATTAACAGTTAAGGTTTTAAATGGCTCTAAAATATGAACATTTTAGATTTCACAAACCCCATTGAAAACTTAATGCTGATTGGGTGGCATGATAAAGCTGTATAGGTTGCTAAAAGAATTCTTAGATCAAGCATTCTTTCAATCATATCATAGGAATTATTCTATCTTGCAGTAACATCTTGAACTAAAGTATGCTTATTTAAACTAAGCTGTTTTTAAATCGCTTCTAATTTTGCTGCTGCTGTTGGTGAATGGTGAAGATGAGTTGCCAGACATCTGCAACAAGCTAAAATATCTTTCAAAGATTTTTACAACAAAACTGAGTCATGTATACATAACTGAATTGTATGTATAAAACACAGTATTGACATAAAACCACTGTTTTCAACACCAGCTAACATATTGGCAGTATTATATTGTAAAACAGTGTGAATCTGTGAGTGAAATTTTCAGACTTGGTAAACCTTTCTATAAACACTCACTTATGCTTTTTTCTGTTACTTCTTGGAAAATGCATAACTGAGTACTGCTCTTTGTTGGGGAAATGCATTGAGCCAGTGTGCTGTCATACTTATGAAGGCAACATTTGAACTATTTGCCGTCTAAATATCAGTTGTAAAGGAGATAACTCACAGTAGATAGATTATTCTTTATAGAGTTAAATAGCTCATTACATATTTAAGGAGCATTTTACAACTCCAATTGGGTATTTAATAATTGGGACAAATCTCTTTGATTAACTTTCTTAAACCAAGCGCTTCTACAATTGTATATGGTTAAATGTTGTTAAGCTGTTATTTCTCTAATACGATAATGGATTTTGATTGCTCTATGACCATTAATATCCTATATGCTTTTTTAATTAATACTACCTAGTAATGTTAATTTGATGATTACTTGATGTAGAGGGGGTAGATATTAATTTTTTTTTTATTAGGCTCTTTTTCAGCTAATGCATATTCTTTAACGTTTTATTTCTAAATGACGCCTAATGTTTTAGGACAACTCCCACCTCTAGAAAGTAATGCTTTGCATAGTAGGCAAATGAATGTATTTCTTAGGAACTTTAAAATACTCCCAAACATTGGAAGTCTTTAGTAAAAGTTTTATACTCCCACAAGATATAAAAATAAATATTGAATAATAAAAGATAAAGTTTAATTCAATAGAAAATAAGGCTTTTAAATATAATTTGTCTAAATATATTTAGAACAAAACAAATATGTAACATTATGTAAGTTACATAAAATGCGATTATACCATTTAAGTTAAATGTTGTACATTTATTTTTGTTAACCAACTTATATATTTGTACATTATAGTATAAACTACAAATATTATTTACTTTATTTTTCTGCAAATAGTTATTTTAATGTAAAAAATTTTTTAGGTTCTTAAAGGGCAACACAACTTTATTAATAATGAAATTATCTAGCATTTCATGTAATAAAAAACCCTAAAAGGTGCTTTTGTGAGTGTGTGTGAACTATAAAAGTAAAATTTACTCACCATCTTTAACTTGGTTGCTGCCTAAAATTTAATGTAAAATAATCATTAAAAGTGACATAAATATATTAATCAAAATAAACACTTTTAAATGAAACCTAATGTTTTTTAATATAGCATAGCTGACATGAAAACTTTATGAGCTACAGGTAACTACTAAGAGATACAGATAACTACTAAAAAGCTCTGAAAGGAAAAAAAATATATATATTTCTTATATAATATTTTGTAGTCTTGTTATTCAGGTAATATTTTTGGATTTAATTAGTCTAAAACTTTTTTAAAATTTAATTAGAGTTTATTTTAAATGCAGTAAAATTCACACATCATTTGTGTATATTGGGCATAATAAAACTGTTACGAGTAGGACATAAAAATCTGGAAAAAAACTAGAAAAAAATCAGCTATTATTAAATTAGAAATTACAATACGTTAAAAAATAAAGTAAAAAGAATTAAGTCATTTAAGAAAACTACAAAAAATCTTTAATAAAATGACAATATCTTATTTCAAACTGTTTTTTTTTATACCGGATTGGCGCCTTGAAACCTAAAGCAGTTTAAATTCTACTGTAAAAAAAAAAAAAAAAAAAAAAAAAGCTAGAAAACCGGCAACTTAGCATATTTCTTTGGTCAGTGAGTCATAAATCCACAACTAAATTTTGTATTAAAATGATTAAATGAAAAACAAATCTTTCTAGGAATTTGTTTTATTTACATTTGAAACAAAAACATATAGTCAAAGTGCTAGAGAGCTTATTGTATAAATGATAATTAAATTTTGGGTCCTTTTATTACAAAAACATCAATAAATATTTTGCAAATGTTTTTTTACAGACTTATATGTGCAAATATGATGAAACAAGAGTTTTTAGAACTACTAATTTATGAGATTTTACCAACAGTAAAAATATCTTTTTGTCTTAAAAATATTAAATAACTTATTATTCTTAGCAGCAAATTTGTAAGCAAATGAAACATTTCACAAAAATGTATTTAACAAACAAAACAGCATAACTGTAGTAAAGAGTAATGTTTAGCACCTTTAGAAGAATTTACACAAAGCATTACACAGCTATAAAAAAAATTTTCACAACTCAGTACTGACTTTAAAAATAAAATTAAATGGAAAAATTGTTGCTAATAAACTTTACAAAGATTTCAGGACGCCAACCCATAGTTTTGAATAAATCTACTCCACAAAACCAAAATGCTATTTAGTATTTTAATTCTTACACACAAAGGCAAAAAGAACATTTTAGGCATTTTAATTTTTACCCTATTAACAGAAGCAAACACTTAAGATATAAGACAGGGTTGCCACTATAATTTTTAAAGTTTTTCCCTGAGTTGAACTCTTTAAGTTCCCTGAGTTTTCCCTGACTTTTCTATATTCTTTTCTGTTCACCAACAAGATTATTATTTTCCTTAATTAAACACAATCTTTAAACTTGACAAACTAAAACTTTTACAACACTCAACATCTTGTAAATTAAATATTTTTGACAAAAAAATTATTGTACAAAATTTCAACAACAAAAAAAAAAAAAAAAAAAAAAATTTTCCCTGAGTTTTGCCTGAATTTTATAAAGTTTTGAAAAATCCCTAAGTTTTCCAGGTTTTCCCTAGATTTCGTGCTATTTCCAGGTATTCCAGGTTGAGTGGCAACCCTGTAAGACAAAGGTTTTTTTTTTTTTTTTTTAAATAATTTTACCAGTAAGTTTTTTATTAAAAGATATTAGGCAAAGATAAGATGTAACAAAAAGGACTCCAGGGTTTGGAAATAAATATCAATTATTACCCATATACACAATATATTTTCATAGAGCTTAAAAAAAGTTTTTCTCATCATAAATTTATTAAACTCCTAAACTTAAAGCACTAGGACTACTAAGTCCAGGTAAAAGTGTAAAATAAACACTTGAAGTGCCTAATTTAATATTAAAATTGTAAAATGTTTGAGCCCATCTTTATGTTAGATTAAAAAAAAATATATTACTTGACATTAAAAAAAAGTTATTTTAAATATATATCGTCGGTGTACAAGAAAAATGTCCATTTTTGGCAGTATGAAGTTATTTATACTACTATACCATTATATTTTTTACCATTATATACCATTATATTTAAATTTTCTATCATTTGATAATACCACATTTTTTATATACCATACAATTAATCAATTATTGAGTAACGATTTTTTTATTTTAACTATTACACAAAAACTGTTCATTATCTCAAAATGTTTTTGGACTTACCGACGATATAATAAATTTTAATATTAATTTAATGCTGGTCGACAAAAAACTTATTACCTAGAATTCATAATAATTTATTTACTAAGTGAAATTTGAACTCAATTATGATTCTACTATTTTACTGATAGTCAACATAATTGCATTAGCCTATTAATTACAATTCATAATTTAGTAACTAGGTGAAACTTGAACTAAATTGTGAGTCTATTAAACTCATAGTCCATTCATCCATCTCTCCCAAGAGAATTCTACTCCAATACATTTAGTTAAATAATTGTATTAGTGAAACCTACAAGATTGATTTGAGTCTAATCCAATAACAAGTGTAAAACATTTTAATAAAATGAAATGTTTACAGGTTATTTCACATAACTTTTTATTAATTTTTTTAACACACCAAGCTTGCTTTCTGTATAATAGGATAAAATGAAAACAATTAAATTTTTAAAAAACCAACACCATTTTAACTCAATGCATTTAAAAAGTAATTCAACAAAACTATTAAAATTTAGTTTTTCGAATACCATGTATTCATGTGAATCAGGCTTTGTTTTAAAGCATAAACTGTACATTTATGTACAAGCTAAGCCATTCAATGCAAGTGGTAACAATTTTTTATCATTTTTAAATATTTAAATAAGTCTAAAGAGACCATTTAAGCGGTAAGATAAAATAAATAATTAACGTTATAATAACACTAATGAAGTTTGAAGCCATAAAAAAAGTTTATATGACAATTACATTTGATAATCAAACTATTTACAAATAACTCAAAAAAACAAAGTAAACCTTTTTTTTATCAATCTAACTTTCTCATCAAAAATGTTCAGTAAAAGAAGAAAAAAGAAAAAAAGATGTTATAGGTGCATAAAAAACGAAATCATAAAGAAAACATGAAAAAACTTTTTTAGTTATTATCTTGCAAGTGCAAGAATATTTATTTAGACAAATTCTCACAACAAAGAATAACAAAAATAATTGCCAAATTAAAAAAAAAAGTACACATTAAATTTTATTTTAATATTAGCAACACTTTAGTTATTTTAAGTTTAATTTGCTTTGTTATATGGATAAATTTTATCAAAAAAATAAGGAAAAAAAAAAAAAAAAATGAAAATTAATTTTTACAAACTTTGAACATCTTACAAAAAGTTTATTGCATTATACAAATAAAGAAAACTCCTTTTATGGATAAAACTATATTAGTAATTTTTTTGCTTGCTCAGTGTAGTTAAGGAGAGATCCGAAGAAAGATATAGTGCTTAGTTCCTTTTGTTTTCAAAAAAAAAAAGCCGTTTTATTTTGCGTATATTAAACTTTATGTCTAGAGGGCAAGTGAAAGCAATGATATAATATATTTTTTTATAAATGGTACTTGGAAACTTAATTATTTTTTCGTCACAAAAAAATTAAAAATTTTAAAAAAAAAAAAAAAAAAGGGCTGATAAAGTAGTTAATTATTTAAGTTTATTTGTTTGCAACAAGTAATATTTTGTGTTTGTTAATAACTTTTAAAAGTAAAATATTATTTGGAAAACCAAAATTTTGAGAAAGAATGAAAAAAAATTCCCATTTTGATTTATTTATACTTATATGTCAAGAAAAGAAAGAAATTAATTTATGCTAAATGATAATAAAAAATGTAATAATAAGTTTAATAATTTCAAATTTAAAAAACAAAAAAACAAAAATTAGACATTCCACAATATGTATATTTACAAAATAACAATTCTAAAGTTAAGGCTCAATTTAATTTTTTATAAAGTCCCGAACGAAATGTCCGATCAAAACTTGTTTGAGTCCGACAATGTCAGGTCAAATTTTTTTAATATAATTTTTACAGTTTTACAGAACCAAGTTATGCAATCGAAATCTTCATTAAGTTTTTTAACATTATGAAGTTTTTTAATGTTAGTTATTTAAAATATTTTATCGCAGATTTTTTTTTCTTAATTAATAAAATAGTTCTTATTTAATATCATATGCTTTTTTAAATAAACTTGAACTTGCACGCTGTAACTGACAAAACTTTTTTTTTAAAAAAAATGTTACATTACAAATAACTTTTAATCATTTTTTTTTAAAGTTTTTATTTTACAGGAAGGCGTAAAATAAAAACTTTAAATAAAATCAAAAATTATAATTGAAAATAAACGCATTGTATAAATTATATGTTATATTTAATTTTTTTGTAGATATGTATTTTTTTTTTAATAAATTTAAACGCTTGAAAATATTTTTTTAAATAGTTTCAAACATTTAAAATTATAATAAAAAATCTTACTGAAAATCTTTTATTAAAAGATTATTTTCAAGTTACTTTAAATTACGAATAAGTTATATTCAATCTTCCCAAAAAATAATTTTTTTTTTTTTTGTTATTATTATTTTAACAAAAAATTGTTTAAAAGTGGGTTTTTTTAAACATGACTTTTAATCAAAGCATGAAATAGTTAAAATTACAATTTTAAAAAGATAGCGTTTTTTTGAAACATTTTTTTTTTTTTTGCAACCTTTTGAAAAAAATTATATTATACTTTTTTCTTTTCAATAATTTAAATAAAATTTGTTTATTTATTAAACAATCATTAGAAGTAATTTGTAAAAGTGTTTTGCATAACTCTAATAAAACGTTTCAAAATATAAGTTTTAAAGTAATTTATTTCAAACGCAATTAAAAACATAACAAAAAGTAATTATACTTTGAGTTTTTTGAGTTTAATTTTAAAGTTTTTAACTTTTTTTAAATTTACTTAAATTTTAATTTTTATATATATACTAAAGTATTTAATTTGTAAAATTTAATTCCATTCGGTCAAAATATCTGATTACTTTGTAAATTGATCGGACAATTTGAGGTTTTAGCCGGACAATGTCTTATGTCCGACTATTAAATTGAGCCCTGTTAATTTGTTTTTCTTAATTTAAACTTGTCTTGGGTAAATTATTTTATTGCAGTAGTTTAAAAGAAGTTTATGTCTTTAAATAAATACAAAAAATACTAAAGATAACTTTATGACGTCAAAATCACAAAGAGCTAATGTGCTAAGCAATTTTTTTTTTAAAACAAGGCCTGATAATTAATATGATAAAAATTTTATTTTTTTATTTGAAAAAGTGCAACTAAAAATAAAAAGTGGGAAAAGTTTAAACTTTCTATTTTTTTCTTTCCAAAAAAAACTTTATTTACTTTTAAACTCTAAACTTGGGATACAATTTAAGAATAGCATTTTTTAAATTAAAAAAAAAAAGAAGATTTTTACTACTTAAATGCATTAAGAAAGTACTTATCACTAATATAATGAAAACAATTTTATTTTAATGATAACTTACTTGCTAACTAATAAATAATCATTTACAAGGAAAATTTTAAAACAATTTAATTAAAAATATTTAAAAAGCCATTAGAAATGGACATGTTTTAATAAAAGGAATTATGTACCTCTCTATTTAACTTACCACCAAAATTAGAACCTCCTTTTGAACCTCCTCGACCACCATAACTGTATGGAGTTAAAAATACATGTTTATGTTACAGCATTTACATTGGGATAACCATATCCCATGACACTAAAACTCATTAAGTCAGTATAAATACACAGGCCATACAAAGATAAACTGAGACAATAATTTGGATAAAACTTTTTTTTTGTAAAGTTAACAAGATATGAACTAGCCAAAATTGTTGATTTGTTGGTTTTAAAAAAAATTTGTAATGTTTGTTATTAAAAAATTTTAATGCAAATTACCAAATACTTTCTACCCCAAAAAAAGCTTACTTTTTAGTATTTCATCCAAAAAATAAAACAGTCATAACTCCCGAAAACAAAAATAACATTTTAAATTTTTTTGATGGGTAAAGCAGAGTTTTTATTTTATTAAGGCTAAAACATTCATTAAAGAACAGCTTTAACCTTTTCCTGCCTAACCTTTGCATAAGGGTAAACTGCAAAATAATATTGTGACTTATGTTTTATATTTTCATAACTACTCATTGTTATGGGCAGGATTGAAAAGTCTTGTTTTTCAAAAGGAATGACCTTTGTAAATTGAATCAGAAATTCAAAAAATATGTAAAAAAGTTTAGAAGGAGGCAAAAACACCTAACATCAGGCTTGTTCTGGAAGTGGTGTGATCGCACTTAATAACTGACTACAGAAATAATATTTAGTTGCGAAAAACCGGCCAAATTTTTTAGTCGTTTTGAGAACATTTAAGTTTATGTATGCTTCCTTGTTTGTCCACAAAATAATAATTAAGTTCATTATTTTATTGTAAATTTTTAAATATTTTATTTTACATACACGGATACATACTTAAACTCAAATGTTCTCAAACATCTTTGTGCGGAAAAATAAGAAAAGAATATTCACGAATACAAAAAACCCAACAAATCTACAAACAACTAATATTATTGGTTCAAAAAATACTAAATGAAATTTCTAGAGTATTCAAAAAATACTAACCGAATGTTCTAGAGTATTTCTATTGAAATATTTTGAAAAATTGTATTATTTGAGTTTTGATATGTTTTCGTTGAGATTTCTAGCATAAATTGTTTTAGGAATATACTATCAAATGAACTATTATTTTAATTTTCAGAGCCATATCTACAAAGCTATAAATGTCTTAAACTAATATGATTTATTTACAAAAATGTTTTAAATTTATATTTTTTAATTTATTTGTCAACGTGTAAATATATTATAGATTTTATTAGTATATTCTTATTTTGTATATATATAAGGGATGTATTTTTTATGTATGTAACGTGTTTTTATGTATGTAATTTTATGTTTGTGTATCTTATTCAAATATAATCTTTTAAAGCAATTTGTGCGATTGATTTTCTAAACAAAAATACTTACAAGAATAACTGCATGCTTTCAATGAAATTATTAATAATCATCAAAGTTAATACAAATAATTTTAACTTCTTTTTTTAACTGTCTCTCATAGGTCTTTTTGAAATGTTCTCGAAACAACTAAAAAATCTGGCCGGTTTTTCGCAACTAAATATTATTTCTGTGGTCAATTATCAAGTACGATCGCACATGCTTCCTGATCAAGCCTAACATACTACCTATAAACATCTATTTAATTTTGAGAAAAGACATTGTTAGTAGATTGCAGTAATTCTAAATTTTGATCATTGACATTCTAGTAATTCTAAATTTTTAGTTATAGGCCTTTAAAACTTTTGTCAAAAATTATGCCAAACTATAGTTATGAAAATGTTATGTTGATTTTACTGCTTCAAATCATTTTAATAGCACTATAACACATTAAAAGTTGTTGTTATTTTAACCGCTTTATTATTATTTCTTTTAAATGTTAAAACATTTTTTGAGTCTTAAAACAATCATTTATTTGGATTAAATAGGATAGCAGATTTATTTAATATTTTATCTTCAAGTTTCTGCAAATGTTATAATAATTAATTATAAGGCATTTTATAAGCTAGACACTAAGTATGCTCTAAAAGTTAAGTGTCACGTTTACCAGAGGCAAAATAAGTATATTATTTTTGTTAAGAATTTTAAAATTTGCAATTTGTAAAATAATTTGTAAAAAGAAAATTACAAATTTTGCTTTATAAGACTTTAAGTTAATACACTAACTTTTTCAAACAATATTTTAAATGTATGACTTTTAGGCTCTAAAGTAAATTTATTAATAAATTTTTTTTTTTTTTAAATAAGACATCTACTTGAGACAAATGTGTTAAATTTACTAAAACCTAAGAACTATTATGAAAATAAATACAGTTTGTTAATCAACAAAATGTAATCATTTTAATTAAAATTTAAAAAATGAAAACACCATTTGCATGTTTTCACATTTTAAATAAAAACCTTTGTTGAGAAGATTCAAAAAATTTAACCATGTTTATTAAAGATTTAACCATGTTTACATTTTAAATAAAAACCTTTGTTGAGAAGATTCAAAAAATTTAACCATGTTTATTAAAGATTTAACCATGTTAACAAAAAATTTAACCATGTTTATTAAAGATTTGTTAAATATTTAATAACACAAGTAATACTATAGATATTTAATGACGTTAAATAAAGACCTTATTAGTGTTTCATTAAATTTGAAGTTTTTTTAAAAATAAGCACATTCAATAATAAAAGAAACTAGAAACAAAAAAGACTCAAGCAGGACTCTATGGTTGAGAACCACCAAAATCATATTGAATTGCTAAGTCAATGAGTATTCTAGGATCTTGGGATTTAAGCTTAGAACTCCAAAATAAGAAGTCTCTTTAAAGTCCATTACTTATCTTTTAACGAGCCAAGAAGTAATGAAACAATTTTTGAATTAAAGATGATAAAAAACAGATTTCAAAATTCTAAACCGCAAGGCCCTACTCCCAAAAAGATATTCAAACATTTAAAATTACTTTAATCTCTTTAAAGTGTATGATAAATATCTTGATAACTAGCTTTATTTTACTTTATTTTACTTTATTTTCTGCTGCAAATGTTATATATGGTAGAAAAGTTTCAAAGAGACCTTATATTTTTCTTACTATTATAACCGTTTAACCTATTAAATTTGTATATTATATAATATAGTTACACCATTGAGCATATGACATTTTAACATAAAACATTTTAGTACCATTTACAACATGATACTTTACAATTTATGTTTTACCATTTTACAATTAAAAAAGTCCAGTTTTTATTTGTTTTATTTTTATAAGAGGAATTTTTTATAGGAAAATATTATTATTTTATATAATCGTACAAGGGATTTCTTATTTACATTTTCTTAAGGAACTTGGTTGCAAAAGTTAAGTATCCTAAGATTGATCTTAAAATTAATACAGCCAACAAAAAAACAATTTTATTTAACTTAATTTTTAGTAAATATAACCATTGATAAGAAATGTTCTACAAAATCATCAAACCACAAACTAATTTATGAGTAATTATTATGAGAAAAAGGTTAATAAATCTCATGTTTAATAAAATTTAATACAAAATAAATACCTGTTACTTCCACCTCTTGAGTTGTAACCACCACCACTTCCACTACTATCACCATCAGAATGATCTTTATAACCACCACTATATCCTCTGCTACCACCCCTACCACCTCCGCCACCACCCCTGCCTCCTCCCCCTCCAACGCCACTACTTCCATAAGAATTATATCCATCACCACTTACAGCATCATCTTGTGGATAAGAATTGTAGTTCCCTCCACTAGAGGAATAATTGCCCGCAGACGAGTTGTAACCACCTCCTCCGCCTCCATAACTTTGCTGTGGTGGAGCTTGGTAATTACCCTAAATAATGTTAAAAACAAGTAATTTTTGATTAGCTTTATTATTTAATTACTTTTTTTTGGATGGTCAAAATTTTTTTACTTTTTTCTTTAAATTTTAATCAAAATCATGCTCAAATTTAGGAAGGAGAAAACGATAATTGAATTGTTTTTTAATGAAATATTTTTTAATTAAAATTTTTAGTTAATAAATAAAAAAAAAATTTTAATGTTAATGAATAAAATTTGTAGTCAATAAAACTTGTTTAATTTAACAGCAAAATGAACTAATTATTTCTAACAATTTTTCATTGACATCTGAACATAATAAGAAACTTTTGTTTAAAAGCAATTTTAAAACAAACAAAAAAATCATCTTTTTGTAAATTTGTTACACGAAGTTTACTGGGAAAATACTCTAAATTAATTTTACCTAAAGGCTTGATTATGGTTTATCTGGCAATGCATTTATATACAGTTATATATACACTAAGCACTTTTGTAATGCCATAAAAAAAATTTATTGATTTGAAACTATAAATAAATAAACAAAATAGTTGAATTTAAAACGAAAATAAAAAAGCAACTTAAATTTGTGAAAAGAATTTTATTTTTTCTAACACAAGAGATTTTTTAATAACATAAAGTAGAAAAAAAAACTATTAACTATCTGATTTTTTTATCAAAAAAAAATTATTTTACAAATGTGGTAAAAATATTTTTTCCACAACTAAATACTGCTTAAAGAGACCACCAAGTCCAAAAACATGTTGTGTTCATATTAAAAAGAATGTTAAAAAAACGTCTGAGCAAATTTTTTTTGATTAAAACTAATTAATAAATGTATACCAAGAAAAACAAATCTTGTTGTTTTAGTCAAAGCTTGTCCTCTCCATTTTCTGCGGTATTTGGAATCTTTAAAATAAATGCAATTTTCCAGACGCATTATACGTGATAATTTATTCAAGTGCGTTTAATTCATAGATGTTTTAGTGCATGTCATAGATTTTTTTGTTTGTTTGTTTAAAACACTGATTATTATTTTTTACATGCAATTTCCAAATCTTATTCATTTTTATTATATTTTAAAGTTTTAAAATATGTTTGTAAAAAAGTTAAAAACAAAATAGTATTTTATTTGCGCAACTTTTTTTAAATAATCGTCTAGACTAGAGTGTCCCAAAAAACAACTTTTTTAAAAATAATCTGCTCTCACCCCCTAAATGTGTTCTATCTAATACAAAAAAACTAAGTTTAATTTTTTTTAATAAAAAATAATTTAAAGGGTCCCTTAAGACCCTCGAATATTTAATGGGTCCCTAATATTTTCAAAAAAAAAGTCAACCTGGTACTCAAATGAAGCGAAATTATATAAAAATATCGCTTCATTTGAGTACCAGGTTGACATAATTTTTAAAAACTTTTTTTTTGAAAATATTAGGGACCCATTAAATATTCAAGAGTCTTGATGGACCCTTAAAATTATTTTTTATTGAAAAAAAATTTAAACACCCCCTAAATGTGTTCTTTCTAATACAAAGTGTTTTTGTATTAGAAAGAACACGTTTAGGGGGTGAGAGCAGATTATTTTTAAAAAAGTTGTTTTTTGTGACACCCTAGTCTAGACCATATGTATTTTGATTTCTTTTGTTATAAGTTTTTCTTCAAAATATTAGATAAAATAATCTTGGCAGAAATCTCTTATCATTGTAAGATCTTTGCAGCATAAATTTGGCTTCTTAGCCTGGGCAAAAAGCCTTAGTAGCCTGGGCAAAAAGCCTTAGCCAGGCTTCTTAGGCTGGGCAAAAAAGGAAAATACCTAGGAAAAGAAATATGATTTAAAACCATCAATTTAATTGTGGGTAGAGGCAGGACTAGTTAATTTTAGATAATTGTCCTAGAGGTAATTAAAATAAATACTCGCCCTCGATCTGAATAACAGGTTAACACTGGGAAAGGCATCAGTTGCAAAATAATATATTAACTGTTTCATGTCATATATAAGTAAAAAAAATGACTTATGTCAAGACCACACAAGTGTGGAACTATGGACCTTAAACTTAAAAGTTTAAAAAAAGACAATTGTTAGATTTTATATTGCATAATATCAGTAATTTAATAAATTGAAAACAATAAAAAAATAACAAAAACAACAAACAAAAATAATAAACATTACTGCTTGTGGATACTGCTGGTTGAATGGCGGCTGTTGAAGATTTGGTTTATCTTAATAGGAGAAAATAATATAAAAAAAATTTTTTCCAACAAATATTTTGAAAATCCTGATGTATAAGTTAAGGTCAGTTTTACAGACCTTAAATAAAGTCTATACACCAGGATATATACCTTAAGAAAAGTATAAGTAACAATAAAACTCTGTACATTTTAATTTAAAATATATTCATAAACATTGTGTGGCTAGAAATTATATTTGCAAAAAGCATTAAAAAAAAAAAAAAAAAAAAAGACAGCATTAAGCTGTTAATATAACAACTTCAGAGTAACTTTAAAATGTGATACATGACAAATAAATATTTGAACAAGGCTTGGGCAGAAATGGTGTGCGATTGAACGCTGACCATGCAAATGATTTTTTTATTGAAAACTTAACCACAAGTGTTTAGAGATTTTGATGATTTAAACATTTTAGAATTGCTCTGAAAAAAGAAACGCTAAGCTAAACTTAAGCGAGGAAAAAAAACACTACAGAAAAAAAAAAATTTCTTACAAATAAGCAGAGTTGTTAACAAGGCCAAGGCCACAAGTTAGAAGGCCGAGGCCAAGGCAAAAAGTTACAAGGACAAGGCCAAGGCAAAAAGTTACAAGGACAAGGCCAACAGTTTTTGAGGTCAAGGCCAAGATTAGGAGTTTCAAGGTCAAGACATACGCGAAGATTTTAAGACTTCAATTTTCGCAATACGTTAAAGGGATCCTAAACTCCCACAACATGTCGTGTTCTTATTTATTATATATTAAAAATAATGTTAAAAAAAGGTTTGAACCAAGTTTTTTTGATTAAAAATAAATGAACGCATACCGAGAAAAACTAATGTTGTTGTTTTAGCCGAAGCTCGCCTTCTTCATTTTTTCAATAACTCAGAGTCTTCAAATTATATGTTACAATATACAGACTTTAACGATTCCTTTGAAGCCCGTTTAATTCATAAAAGTTTTAGCATTTGACGTCACTTTTAACAAATGAAAAGTGTAATTACACAAAGCTGCATTTTTCTACTTTAATTCAAAAAGTATGATGTAGCATTTTTTTAACATACAGCAAAACAAATTTATTTGTATTATTTTTCCAAACATCACAAAAAATTATTTTTTAAAAGTAAAAACAATTATTTTTGTCTTATAGGAGCAACTAATTTTTTACAGATATCTTAATAATTTTTGGATTTATATATCTTAACTATATTTATATTGTTTTTAAATTAAAACAAATATTAAAACTTTGCTTACCAATCTTATGATTTTCATACGAGTATTTTACATTATATAGAACGTTTTATATGATTCTGACTCTAACTAATTTTTATTTAAACAACGGGAACTATTTTTTAACTTCTCTGGTTATTTTTACGCTATGACAATTTTTTGTTTTCCCGCCGAAAAAAAAGTATTTATTAACAATTAATTTCATAAACTGACAGTATTAATTTGAGATATTTAATGAATTGTTAACTTTTTTTATTGTAAAAATTTTTTGATTACGTTGATTTAATTTAAATTGCTAAATTTGCTGAATTGGATAATCAACGTAGACAACATTCCAAAAAACAATTATCAAATAAACAACACAATATCGCAATATTTTAGGGGCTTTTTGCTTAGTCATTTTAAATAATAAGTAAACTTTAAGTTAATATTTCAATATTTACAGTTGCAATATAATAAAGAAATGATTATTAAAATAATTTGTTTTAAATATATTTTGACGTGATTATTTAAACTTATTTTTTTTGTTTGACTTTCCGAACTTCATGCAAAGCAAATTGAAACGAAATATTGTCTAACCAAATAAAAATCCTGTTACTAATTTTATATGGGTAATTAATGTAAAACAATTTTTTATCAAAGCCTTGATTGAGATAATAAATATTCATAATTTATAAACATTAAATATATGGTGCAATAACAATTTATAGCAACGAACAAGCATAAAAAATTTGAGGTTTTAAATATCTTTTTAAATGCTGAAAATAAAAAAAATAAAAAAAAATAAAAAACTAAACAAATAATCAAAAAAATTACGAATAAAAATAAATAAAAAAAATTCCTTTGTTAAAAGCCTACCATGACGCCAAATATTAAAACCTTTTTTTAATATTATCTTTAATGTGAACACAAGATGTGTTAGGAGTTTGGGATCCCTTTAAGACCAATTCTTCACAAAACTGTAAGTAGCAAGTGCTGTGAAAACCAAACCACATTTTGTAAAAATAGACCAAGGTTATGTTCAGAATACAACAAAATCAATAGAAAATATGTATTTTTTTATTGATTTTGTTGTAAGACCAAGGCCAAGGCCTAAATAAAAATACATGCCTACTAAAAAAAATGTAAATATAACATTTAATTTAAACAAAATGCGTTTATTTTAAACACACATTATAACTAATTTTTTATCTAAAGCCTTCGCGTAAAACAAAAATTTGAGACAAGATCAATGATTAAAAGTTATTCATAACGTAACGATTTTAAATAGCATTTAAATGCTATGTCAGTTACAGCATGCGATCGCATGCCATTCCTGTTGAAGCCTGCTGAACTAATGTTTAGCTAATAAATCTAAATTAAACACCTTAAACCTAAACTGAATAATATGATCTAATATCTAAATGGAATATTAGTTAAAACTTAACCTATAGACTACAAAGCAATAAATGCTTTAAAAAAATTGTTTCAATTTTTTTAAGGTACTAAAACTAACAAGGTATTGTTAGTTGTAAAACTAACAAGGTATTGTCAATTTTATTAAGGTACTAAAACTAACAAAATAAGGAAAGATCTAATAAGTAACAGAAATCAAGAAAACCCATTACGAGAAGAAAAATAGGCTCAAATCAACTATTATCAATCAACCAAAAATAGGCTTCTTGTTTTGCTTAAACTTGCGTGTATTATAGCAATTATTAGGAAGCTTGGAATGCACCAAACTAATTGGTTAAATAACTAAAAAATTTTAAAGACTTAATAAAAAATGTTTATTTTGAAAACAAAAACCTGCTTACCAAAACTTTTATATAGAGAATGGAAATAGAAAAAAGAAACCTGTTAATGGACTAGTACTTCAGGGTTCCCGCTAAATTCCATGAAAATAGAAAAGAGTTTTATTTTTCTTTTATATTTTTCTCAATTGCATAAGCAATAAAAAGTTTAAAACTTTAAATCTTTTTTTAAATTATTCACTTAAGATATAAACAACAGGCATATAAATCACACAAAAGGAAACTTGAAAAACTAGGACCACCATACTTCATTATAAGTAAAAAAACAACAATTAAAACTAAAAAATTTATACACCAGGTTTGTTAAACTTCTATTTTTGAAATATTATTTAAAACAGACCCAGCCTTATAAAATAATAAATCACTGGTTTCAGTCAAGCAAAAAAAGGAAAAAATATATCAGTCAATACATAAGCTGTTTATTTCAATGGCAAGAATGCTCTATATATAAGAATTGCTTCAGGTTGCAACTTAACAACTCTATTCAATACCCTGGCCACAAATGACACAAATTGTCTCTATTTGATTCAGCTTTTCCTACTGATAAAATGAGTTCTTTAAAACTTTGCCTGTTTTTGTAAATCATTACATTTAGCCTTTGTATCTAGTATTTCATCATTTATCGTGATCTTTATCTCTATCTATACTGTAATCCTTACTCTAAAGCAGCAATTTCCAACCTGTGATATTCCTCCTCTGATAATTCATTACAGTGTATTTATTTATAATTATGTTATGAGGTTTGGTTGCGTGTGACTTTTAATTGTAAATTGCAAAAAAATATGGTGCATATAAAGTGTAAAATATAATTAAAATCAGATACTTAGAAGTTAAAAAATGTAATAGTTGCTGCAAAATGCAGTGAATTAGAAGCAACGTTACTAACTTTATTGTTGAGGTTGCCACAATTTGGCAAATAATATCACGGGGTCGCAGCATCAAAAAGGTTGGGATTCACTGCTCTAGAGTTTCCTTTTATTTTGCTATTATTTATTTTATCTAAATACTCTATACTATAATTTTTAAAAATATATTTTGATGATAAAAAATCTTTTAAAATTTCAAATATTTTTAGAGTCTAAATTTTTATTAAAGTAATTTCCAGGTTTACTAAGTTTTCTATGAAAGTGGTCTATATTCTTATTTTTAATAAACGTGGGAACATTAAAACTATTAAATGTATAAATAACTTATCAAACATATATCTGTGAAAATATATTAGATGAAACTAGAACATTGATTAACACATTTGTGAAATGTTGAAATTTTTTTTAAATTTTGAAAAATTCTCTCACCATAGTTTTGTACTGGGGGAGGACCATAATTACCATAACCAGGGGGTGGTCCATAACCAGCACTAAAACAAAAAAAACCTCAATGAGAAAAATTATAAAAACAAATGCAACAAATTTTATTAGCACAAGTTAAAAATAAATAACACATATCATAAAACTTGCAGAAAGAAGATAAAGCTTTCAAAAGCTAAACAATTTAGGGAGACAAAAGCCAAACAATCTAGGGAAAATATCAAATAATAATAAATAAAAACAACTAAAGTCAGTAAATTTTTTCAGCAATATCCTCGAGAACTTTTACAAATTTTTTATAAAACAATAAGTTGCAGATGTTGAAATACAGTACAAATGCCATTGATTAAACTTAATTTTATAACTAAAATTAAAACCTGTAGTGAGATAATAACTTCAAACATGGGAAATAATATCAAGTAAATTATCAATTCAATTACTCATCAGTATTAAGTAATTTTAATATTATCCTCGTATTAAAAAGTGAATTCAATTATTCATCATTCAAATTCCATTAGACCAAGTCAAAATCACTTCAATCAAAGAGTGTCAAAAAAAACTTTTAATTTACTTAAATGTTATGGTATACTCAGTCAAATTATCAAATAGATCACTACACCTACTTGATTAAGTTTATTGTTAACCAAAAAATTTATCTTTATTTTAAACCATTTATTATATTTATATTAAATAAAAAAATAAAGTTTTATTATGTCTAGTTTCATGAAATTCTCATTTTAGTGGAGAATATATGAATCTTTAACTTGAAAAAGGGGACATGTTATGTGAATTTTTGCAGAACATGTCCTCTTTTTCAAGTTAGCGATTCATACGCAATAATAAATGTATGAAGGTTAGTACATTAAGAACACACAACACAATTAGTAGAAAACCACTAAAGATTGAAAATCTTGTTGAAAATCTTTTAATGCAAGCAGTAAAATGGTAAGCTGTTGAAAATTTTAAGGATACATTGAGGCCAACAAGTAAAAAAAGACACAACCCTAACACGGAGCCTTACAAAACATATGTAATTACAAAAAATATATATGTTTTATTAGATCATAAAATTACTTAAGTAAATTTGAAAATCATACCCAGGACCAGATGGCGGGACACCTCCTTGCGGTGGATAAGGAGAATCTGAAAATAGTATTTTAAAATATTATATGCATTAGTTTAAAAAAATATAAATAATTTAATAAAACTAAGCAAAAGTAAAATTTACTGCTTTGTTCAAAACCTGTTACAAAAAAAAAAAAAAAAAAATTAAATAGCTACACACTCTATGTATAATTGCAAGCTTTATATAGCAATAATTCAACCAATAACAATCCTGATTTTGATTGTTGGTCATTTTTAATAAACACATATTTTATTAGGAAAAAAATTTCGAACTACAGCAGCTAAGCACAATCTTTGTAACTGTCATTTTTAAAAAATGGTTATGTTAGAAATTGCTTAAGACCAAGTCATTCAAAAAGTTATATGCCACAGTTTAGTAAAATTAAAAAAATATATATTTGTTTAAATATTTTATCATAAGTTAAAACTTTTTCACAAGATAAACCAATTTTGTTTTGAAAAATATTTTTTATTTTTATCGTGTTAAAACAAAGATATGCCATCCATGTTAACACAAAAAACCTATAAAATTTTTATTTAAAGAAATGATTTTCAGAATATTTTATTTTTAAAGTTATAAAATTTTTTAACGAGATAAACCAATTATTTTACATTTTAAACACCTAAAAAACTATTATTAAAATTACAAACACAAACATGAACCCTTACACTGCTGGGACATAGTGAAAACTGCCACTTAAAAATATGATGATTGTCGTTACAAGGTGCAGCGTGCGAGTATTAGAGGTCTACGCCGAGATAACATTATCCCAGCATGCTCGAAATAAAATGTTTGCCGTCAAATTCTTTTGCCGTGGCGCGTTTTTATTGAAAAAGTTTTTTACCATCACTATGAGGCTAAGGAAAATTTTAAACTGTTGCAAAAGCATTTGATGAATGTCCATTAATTTTCATTATCTTTATTAGCATAATTGTGCAAGTTTTATAAAGTTATGAAATCTATGTGCGGTAAACTTCAGTGGCCTACAGCAGTTACCTAATCTCCTAATCAATGAAACATTTAATAAAAGGGAACCCATCGTTAATTTTCTAGGAGTAATACTAGATGAAAGTTTGTCATGGAAACCACATATAAAATATATTGAAAATAAAATCTTAATAAATATTTCCATATTATATAAAACTAAACCATTTCTCAACACTGAATCTTTAAAAAATATACTTTTCATGTATTTATAATTATAGCACCGTGGCGCAGTGGTAGCGTACTTGCCTCAGTAACGTAAGATCCGCAGTTCAAACCCCACCTCTGTGCAAGTTGGTTGGCAAGGATGCGTAAACTTCCTATTAAATGCTCTACCGCTGTGCTCTGTGATAAGACCGTAAGGACTTCTTAAGGCACCTTAATCAACTTAAAAAAATAATAGTAATAAATATAATATAAAAATAAAAAATATACTTTTCATATATTCATAATTTATATAATAATATATGAGGTAGTACGAGTTATGGTAAATTTTTAGTTTTTTATTTATTTTTATTTTATTTGCCGTATAATTTTTACACCAAGATTTATAATATTATATTAGCAGGACTTCAAGAAGATCGTTATGACCTTATCACGAAGCCCTTAACAAAACTTTATTCTACAATAAAAACATCTTTATACTATATAAAATAAATATATACCGAGAATATATAATCACTAAATATATCATAAATTTAATACTCTGCATACTTCAGAAGTGAAACTCATAACAAAACATAACAAATCAATATGCAGTGTAGCAACTGAAAATATTTTTTAAAAAATCAAAAAAAATCAAGAATATTTTTTGTTGAAAAAATGATTTTTTTAATTGATTGTTTGAAAAACGAAAAGGTCAATTTAGATAAAAAAAACAAAATTAGGTTGTACTATTTCATTCAGAGAAAACGTCCACGATAAGATAGGTTATATTTGTTTTGGGGTTTGATTTTGTAAAGGTTTATAAAAACATCGGGGGACATAAGTTCTTTACATTTGTACATAAAACACAAAATTTTAAATACATTTAGTTGATAAACATTTAAGACGTCCATTTCTTTAAAAAGCGGTTCAGAGTATTTTCATGTGACTGAAACATGTTTGTGTCGTCTGCAAAAATTATAGTCTTTAAATTGGATGCTTTGTTAAGACCATTTATACCCAGGAAAAAACGTTCTATAAAATTTCTATAATTTTTTGAAACATATGGCCTATAGAAAATCTATAGAATTCTATAAAATTTCTGTAGAACCACTTTTAATTTCTATAGGAATTTCTATAGATCTTTTATTTCTACTTTTTTTTCTATAGAGAAAAATTTATAGCAATTTCTATAGGCATTCTATAGAATTCTATAAAATTTCTGTAGGCCATATGTTTCAAAAGTTTATAGAAATTCTAAAGAACTTTTTTTCCTGGGTATATATAATGAAAAGAAGTGGTCCAAGTATGGATCCTTGTGGGACGCCATATGTTATGTTTATTAATGTTTGAGGTTGGGAATCTTTGTTAAAAATAAATTGCTTTCGGTTAGAGAGATAAATTTTGAACCAACTTGGATTTTTATCTGCTATGCCATAACATTCAAGTTTTTTAAGCAAAATATTATGATCGACCGTGTCAAAAGCTTTTGACAAGTCAATGAAAACACCAAGCGTAAATTTTTGATTTTTAAAAGATTTGTTAATACAACGTGTTAATAATACACGATTCTCTGATTTAAGTTTAAGTGCTGCGCACGCATGTTAAATGACATGCGCAAACCTAGCGGAGGTAAACAAACATTTATTTTTATAATTTGACTTGAGTTACTGCGAGAAGGTCATAAAAGAAATATAAATGTCTACTAATTGTGCTGTTAAAGATTGTAAAAATGGTCAATATAGACTTATTAAATGAAAACAGGAAATTTGCAAAGTTCACGGGACAAGAAGAGAAGAAGAAAACTGTAATTGCATAGAACCTTTTTGGTATAGATTAACTAGACTACTTCTTTCATAATAATAGTGTTATATAACACTATAATTATAGTGTATTATAATAGTATTATATAGTGTATTATATAGTGTTATATAGAATAATGCATAATAATAGTGTTATAATACACTATAATTATAGTGTATTATAATACTATTATAATACACTATAATTATAGTGTATTATAACACTATTATTATGCATTATTCTATATAACACTATATAGTGTATTATAACACTATTAATACTAATAATTTACACAACATCCATATAATATGTACATAATACTCTATAATTATAGTGTTATATAACACTATTATTATGAAAGAAGTAGTCTAGTTGATCTATATCTAAAAGGTTCTTTGCAATTACAGTTTTCTTCTTCTTTTCTTGTCCCGTGAACTTTGCAAATTTCCTATTTCCATTAATAAGTCTATATTGACCATTTTTACAATCTTTAACAGCACAATGAGTAGACATTTATATTTCTTTTATGACCTTCTCGGAGTAACTCAAGTCAAATTATAAAAATAAATGTTTGTTTACCTCCGCTCGGTTTGCGCATGTCATTTAACATGCGTGCGCAGCGCTTAAACTCAAATCAGAGAATCGTGTATTGAAGAATAGCATGTTCGGTTGAGTTGTTTTTTTTAAACCGAATTGATTTTCATAAAGGAGTTTGTTGGTAATTAGGTATGTGCAGGGCCGGCGCGAGTAGGGGTCACGTGGGGGGGGGTGTGTTGTGCCATTACAACTTTTGCCGTAAAAAAAAAAAGGTCCTCGTTTTTTAAAATTTACCGACTGCCATAACCACATTTGCCGACTGACTTTACCAACCAACCGATCGACAGGGTCTACATTTGCCGACTAACTAGTCAAAAAAGGTCACATTTGCCGACTAAGGGTCAAATTTGCCGACTAAAAGTCATTGATGGGGGGGGTTACACCCCCCCCCACACACACACACACACACCCCTATCGCGCCGGCCTTGGGTATGTGTACACTCTGTTATACATTATTCTTTCTATTATTTTTTTAAAAAAAAGAAGAACAGAAATAGGTTTATAATTTATTATATTGGTCGGGTCTCCTGTCTTAAAAATAGGAATTACTATATACAGAGAGTCTCGAAAAGAACGTTGTTTAATGAATGATTTAAAGATTTTGTGAAGAATATCTTTCATGACGTCATAAGAGTCTATCACAATATTTCTATTTATACCATCAGGTCCTACTGATTTATTTCTTTTTAACGATCTAAAAGCTATAACTAATTCCTCAAGTGTTAGGTTTGTAAAATGTAAGTAGTTTGATGTTTGAAGTTCATCTGTTAATTTATAATTTGTTAAAGGGATTTTGTTTAATAAATTTGCTCTTTTAGTGGGAAAAAAATTTCTTAAATTCAGTCGCACTTTCATTAGTATTATTAGTTAATTTATTTCCAACTTTTAGTGCAAGTGGAAATTACTTTTTGTTTTCCTGCAATTTCTTACATTAATTCCCAGACGCGTTTTAAGCACTGATCTCAAAAAATAACTGGATAGCGTATGCGGCAAATTTTTTGAAGCCAGTTTTGGCCTCCCAAGATGTATTTTGCCAAGAAGTATTTAATTGATTACAAATTGAGAAAACTTGGTTACGAACTTTTATATATTTTTAAATGAAAATAAATGTACAAGCCTCAAATACAAATATAATTTTCGGTTTTACATAGCAATTATTTTGAAAATAAACGCAATATTACATACTTACGTAAATTTCTAAATTATATATAATATTTTGTTTAACAAAATTTACTTTTAATAATTAGTTTGTATAATATTTTTCTTTTTTATTTAAAAATTAATTAATTAAATAAGGAAAATTAAATAAGATTAAAATTTTTAGTTAAATAATTAAAAATTAATTTATTTAACATAAGTAAAGAACGCACTAGAAACTAGTATTATACCTAGAACCTAATAGTTAACTATTAGGTTCCACTAATAATATTAGTGTACACATTACAGTACATATTAGTAATATGTATAACTTGTTACAACCTATTAGTAGAAGTAAAAAAAAAAAAAAAAACCTAGTAGTTATCTAATTCAAAAGTTTCCAAACAACTTTAAATGTGAAAAATCTAAATAATTTTATTTTTTATTTATATTTCATTTATTTACTTTCTTTTAATTTTAGTTTTACCATCAATTAATTGTTTAATATTGCTTTTTATCCAATTTATGTACCTTTTAGTTCTTAACTACCCAATGCTGTGTGCTAGAAGGTTAATAACACAACTCCATGGTAGGCAGCTGAATATCTTTTTAAAATAAACTATTATAAATTAGTTTTTCAAATAGATATCAAACATTTACAAATTCTGCATGAACTATTAGCTGAGCTCTGTGAGTACACACAACTCAGAGGTTCCTTCTAGAATTTTTTTTTTATGTATATAATTATTTATAACATGTTTTTTATCTGGTTGTACTTTACTAAAATTACAGTATATGTAAAAGTAAAATTCAGACAGATAATAATTATATCTCTCTGAATTAATACCTCTCCTTTATAAATCGCTCAATGGAAGACAGTCTGATCTTTATTACAGTATAATGATTGAAATTCTACAACTATAAAATAATTAATAATTAGTTGATAGTTGTATAATTTCTGTTTAAACTGAATAAATTAGTTATATAATTATGTAAAATTAATTTACAAATATCTGTCTGAATTATACACTCCCCCGAGTAAATCTCTAAACTTGCCTCTGAATTATTTTCTTTTTTCCTAGCTAATCTTTAATAAAAGATGGTGTGGTAATGGTATTGAATGATGTAAT